AAAAAAATGCATAAATATGAGCATTACCTTTAACTATGAAATAATAACATAAAAAATATAAGCGTTACCTTCAAGTATTCCTCTAAAACTTGAGCATCCACCGTTACGCACTGATGCGCATCATCCCAACCGAATCCACTTGTATTCAGCATGTCATAAGCTGYTGAATACTTATCCTTGAGCCGCTTCATTTTGTTTTGGATGTGTTTTGATGTTATATTTAGGCCCGRAATCTTTTCACGCATCTTTAAAACAATTTGGTCATACGTGCCGGTCCGAAAACACCCATTATCACTCCTAYCACCRGCGGCCACAATATCTTGTAGAATGCTAATTAGTACATCCTCTTCTTGGATATTCCAATTACGTCTATCCGCCATCTTAGAATAATAAATTATGATAACATTTTAAAATTCAACATTAACAACATTTTAAAAGTCAACATTAACAACGTTTTAAAATTCAACATCTAAAACATAKAAGCTAACAATACAATACATTGAGTAAATTATGTACTTGACATCCACGACTCAAACATCTCTTGTGCTATGTCATCTCTCCATTGAGTCCACTCATTGCTCGATTCAACAACATCAATAGATTCAACATCATCGTTGGATTCCACTTGCTCTTCCCCTATAGGCATATCTTCTAGTGTAAGTGTCGTGTTTTCTTCCGGATCAAGAACCATCATCTAATAGTCCACCCCGTGTTTTTAGCAACTCACACAAAATAGCAAATGCATTCCTATCCATTYGCAACTCATTCACACAAATAATGTCACTTTCACGTGTGATGCGTTGGATTTCTATCGATCTAATTTGTAATCTAGTGAATGTTCTTTGCCTTAAACTTCTCCTCTGATCTTGTCTTTGTTCATATTCAATTAACCAATTCGCAAAATTGACCAAAAGTATGAGCAAGTCGACATAAGATTTCAACACTTTAACAACTAYAAGTACATGGTTTCGATCCATTCTACATAAAAAAAATTAAGATGGAGTCACTATAAAATGTTTAAAAAATGAGATGGTGACGAATTATAACAAATTATAAACCACATGGATAGGGTAATAACAATAACATGTTAAGATGGAAATCTAAAATGCAACTGATAATGGCATGTTAAGATGAACTTGTGACTTATCCATGTTAAGATGGAAATCTAAAGAAATACATGGTATAATGGCATT